TCATCTTGGGACACTTCTGTTGTCTTTTCTCCTAATGTCTCCCCTTTCGAGACCTGCTTTCCCTCCTTCCAGTATCTCACCATGTTCATCTTCATTCCTACCCCACTATTGCCACAGTCCCGCTTAGTATTATCATTGTTAGGTTTTCATTTTTTCCTACAACCTATGGCAGAGAACTGGGTTTGTAGTATGCTAATGCCATAGTTTCCTTTCCTTCCCTTCACCAATGTGTGAAAAAATCCTGACTTCAGTCAGGTATGTAATGATCCCATATTGTGAGTTGGTTTTGGTCTCTACACGCTATAGTCAATTTCACAACCCTCCTTCTCTCTATCCTCTACTGGTAGTGGGATCCAATCGACTAAGTGACAATATTACTCCTAGAACAAGGTAGTACTTAAGTGATGTAGGAATACACCTTGGAGCATTGAAGACTCAAGGAGGCTGCCTAGTTAAGATATGAACACGTTTCCGATACTTGTTTCTCCATTTGTGTCTACCTCTTATCTCCTCTTACTCCAGCTCAATTGGCTGACACTCTATTACCTGTTATCTTTCACCTGGCTAGCTCTCAACTCTCCGTCTTGTTAGCTGGTACCTTAATACCACCCTTACCCTTATAGAGCAAGGTTGACTGGATCATTTTGTTTCCCTCTTCCCCTCCCAAGGGCCCCAGCCCTAGCCCCTCTACCCGTCGGTATTACCCTGTCTTAGGCTAGTCAGAATCACTGTCTGCCGTCTACTACCTTAACTGTGGAATAGCGCATTTCAGGCAAACCTGACCCAATAGGGGTTACTATATGGGTTAGCTTTTATGCGACCATGACTTCTTTAGTCTTTTCTACTGTGTATTGGGTTAGGTTCATTTGTACCTTCAGGCCAAGATTTTTGGCGAGACTTTTCTTTATGGCTTTGTGCTTGTCTTGGGTTGAGTTTCTCTTAGAACAGAGTTTGTTTGTATTGTAAGGATAGGCTTAATTCAGGGCAACATGTGGGGTTAGCTCCATATCAGAGGGTCTTGGTACTCACAGCTTTTGCTCCAGATGGAGGCAGGATATGTGCTTTATGGTTTTGTTTAAGCCATAGCTCCCACTGCATGCAAGTTCTTGTATGATTAGAATGAATATATGATATATATATATATAATGAAATAAAAATAAAAACAAAAAAATCTCCTAAACTGGGTGCACCTTTGTTCGCCCAACTGCGCTAATTGACATTGCTTTACTTGTTTTCATTTTTTCTTGATTCAAGTTTAATCTCTATACTATTATTTTATTGTATTTTATCCTACCAATTATATTTACATATATTATTCATTATAATCTTTTATCTTCTACTTGGCCACTTAAGTCACCTTCAAAATGTTGAGAGCTGACATTGAGACACTTCGTAGTGAACTCTAGTCATTAGTGTTGAGACACTCATTTCCTTCTGAAACAGGAACTTTCAACATACAAGGGTCAGGCATTAATAAGTAGTACTAAGTCCATGTGAGATACAGAAGTAGTGGAACAGAATAACTTGAAGGAGATTTTGACATCAGATCCAGAGTCTATCTGAACAATGATATAGAAACTATTAAAACACCTCTGACGAAGCAATACTGACTCCAAATAGCTTTATATAGTGCTCAATCACTTTACTTCCTATCATTTATGTTATAGATAGAAATCAGGGAGTGGAGAAGCAACTTGGCAATGGAAAATAGAGTGATAGAAATGAGCAGGGGTAAGATGTTGAATGAGGAGTAACAAGTGGTAAAAACAATATTGTTAGTAGTTCTTGCGAAAACTCGGAATAGACAAAGAGATATATATCTCCAACGTACTAACAACTTAAAGAAATACACAAACTTGAGATATCATGATCCCATGCAACCTCTTGCAATCTACAACTATCCTGATATCTCATAATCCTTTATACCCCCTCAATCTTGTATCCTCAGATGATGCCAAATACTATATACCAAATAGCATATAGTATAAAGGAAACAATATAAAACCACCAACTCTTATCTTATACCCAGGCCTACTGGTGTAGGATTTGAAAGAACTAAATGCCCTCTGCCTCTGTACCACAAATTATAAAAACTAGTATGTGCCCAATAATTGCATATTTGCCTAACACTATAATCATATATCTACCAAGTCCCATACCGTAAAAACTGGAATAAATGGACCATGTACTAGATAGTCCAAAATATCTACCTCTGGAATAGAAGCAGAAAACATACCAAAAAAAAAAAAAACCTACCTCCAAGACAAATAAAAAAGAAAAAAAACCAGACCTTACTGGGAGAGGCAACTGCAATGTCCTAGTACATAGTCCATTTATTTGAGTTTTTACAGTATTCCACTGGCAATCTGATGAAGAGGACAAGCAGTCCAAGACATAATATAGAAAATATTATCATAGTTAAAAAATCAAAATAGAGGAGAACAAAAGCTAAAGAGACAGGAAAACAGAAATTAGAATCTCGTATGCCCACCTTAAGCAGTAAGGACAGCTTGAACTCTAGTTGTCATGCTGGTAAGAAGGGCGTCAAGATCATGGAAATCAATCGCTTCCCACTCTTCTTGAATAGCAGCTCGCATGGTATCATTTTTTTGAGGTCGTGGATGATGAGTATTAATTTGCACCATTATCAATCGCCAAATTCCTTCCATAAGGTTAAGGTCTGGAGATTTCACAATCCAGGGAAACAAGTAGTAGTATAAGCCTTTTGTCCTTAAAACCTGAGGAGTATATTTTGCAGTGTAAACTGAGGCACCATTCTGCAGAATATCAACATAGTCTTCTGTCTTGCGGGAGACCTCATACCAGAATCGTTCAAGGTGGGGAAGAATATGATCACAGTATCACTTTGCGGTAATCCTTAAACTCATCATTGCCTTATCCCAAAAGATTAATAGGCCAGGGTGGCTGCCATAAAAGCATCCCTACATATGAATCATCTCCAGTTTAGCAAACTTGGAAACAAGGCAAGTGGAGCCATACTCCTCAGATGCCTTTCGGGTCATGTAAACTCAGCCTGGGGAGCGACCAACGTTGAATGCGGACTCGTCCGTCCAAATAACCTTGCTCCAGTCCTCCAGTGCCCAGTCCCGAAACCTTTCTACCCACTCAAGCCTATTCTGTAAAAAAGGTATTAAGTTAGTAGTGTAAACAGTTAATAAAATCTCTGATACAATTACACCTTGCTATCCCAGATGACCAAAATCTCTGCTAAAACAACAGAACAAGTTTTGTTGTAGAAATATTTTAAATCCACAGCAATTCATAAAGGATAGCAAGGTATTCATATTATTGAGATCTGGGACAATGGGGTTTGACCATATTGAAGATGATTAACTAGTATAAAAAAAGACTTACAGATATATGCTCAGGTTTCAAAAAAGGCTTCTATTTTGCTACCTGACAGTGGTATCTATCTAAAGCAAGCAAACACCGAAGTGTTTTACCACAAGCCTAAATCCCGACAATGTTGGCTATTTCAGCAAGTGGCATTCACAGATTTTCAGCTGATTCTGTAAGGACATCCAAGAGATTTTGTCAAAGTTCTGGTCCCAGGATCCAAGGTCGACCACAGGTTTTTTTCTCCCCCTTGCATTTTTGCTGTGCTGTATAGTAGACAGTATCAAGTGGAAGGTGAACTGCTATAGCAATCTTCCGATAAGGTCAACCAGCAATATGGTGCAGGGCACATATGTGTGCTCCAACCTCTCCTGAGACTTGGCATCTGGATATCTCTATGCCTTGGATGGAGTTTGGAGGGAGCTCTAACTTATCAGTGGCTATAGTTGCTGAGGAAGAAAAGGTGGAGGAGGTAGAAGAAGCAGCTGAAAATGGTACAGACTCAGAGAAGGACAGTAAGGAGTCTTGAGATAATGAAGAAATAAAGATAAGAGCTGAGGAGTAAGACTCAAGGCTAAGATCAGAAGAGGTAGAAGATGAAAACTGGGAAGTAGTGGAAATCGAGGAGGAAGAGCAAGATAAAGCAAATTCAGAATTGATATCAGAATGCGAATTGGAATTAGGATTGGAATTATTATTGAAATCATATGCGAGATTGACTGATGTAGGAGTATCTAACTCGGTAGTTGATTCAGAGGTAGGATCTTCAGGAAGATTATTCCAGGGTGAAGAGAGAGAGAGAGAAAGTGGACTTAATTCTGCTTGTGTTGAACCAGCACTTGTACTGGCTTGGAGAGGTGGGGAATTGAACCCGTCCGAGTTGTGGGGTGGTATTGCTGATACTACTGGCAACACTGGGGTAGGAAGACTTGTAGCTCTGAAAGCATAAGCAATACGTTAAGGCATTCTTGACAAAAATGGAACATAAAAGTTGAAGTTCAAGTTGCTGGAATTTTACTACATGACTCTGGATCTCATAGTACTAGTATATATGTTACTTTATCAAGCTCTTCGGCTGTATGGGTTAGCACATAACTGAAGCAATTTTGGTTTTCTCTATGGGCCTTACTCCCCTTCTGTCTGTTTTCCTTTTTTCTTACACTATGGTACTCGTGATTGATTGTGATTTTTTCTTGCTTCACTAATGTTGATTCAGTGGGTACCATGGTGTTGTTTCTCAGAAGTTGGATTTTATGGTGGTTAGACGAAATGTCTTAATTTGTCATAGTGTTCCATATTTTTGTCCCAGCTGATTTTCACTCAGTTTCACAGTACTACTCTTTATTGCCTGACCCTTGTACTAGCGTGAGGTCCAATTATTCCAATTTTCACAGTAGGCGAGGATGAAATAAGATGGGCATTGCACCAACAACCTATCCAACCAGATCTGCTCGAATTGGTTAATACGGTTACACAGCCACCCTGATAGGAGAATCGGTTTCCACACTCTCTGCTTTCATCTGAGCCGAGGTCATGGTTGACTCGCCCCCCATCCTCCCGAGGTTCAACCTACCGGTAGGTTATCGTGCCCACATGATTTATAAGTCAACATTTGTCCTGAGCTGCAGTATCATACTTTAGCACTTGAAGGCTCATTCGTCTATGATACCGTTCTCTTTTTGTCGTGTCATAACATTCAATCTTCGCCGCACACACCTACGCTTCCCTGGATTCTCCACACTTCCTCACACACGCGCCTGCGCAACGTAAAGAAGTTAGAAGAACCACTCAAAATGGGAATCCTAGACCTCGAACAGCAACTCATTTTCGTGAGTCCCATCGTCTTCCCCGCAGAATATCCTAGAGTACAATAGCTAATCGAGCATCGAGAAAAGTATGGCTCTTACCACCACACAAAAGGCAACATCCTAATCCACCTCATCGGTGTTCCCGCAATAATGGCAACCACATTCCTCTTCGTATGTCGTCCCCGCCCCCATCACCTTAATCCCCCTTCCCTCTCCACCACACAGTTGACAATCCCCCCAGGCAAGCAACACCCCTCCCCTCCTCCCCCTCCCATTCTCAATTCCCTACTTCCCCCCAACCCTCGCAACCCTCTCCGCACTACTCTACTCAACCCTCTACATCCTTATGGAACCCTTTGCTGGGCTCCTCATAACACCCCTAATTCTGCTCATGACGGCATTCGTCACGCACCTGACATCTGCCTCCACCACCACGGTCACTGCGAACACGGTGGCCGGGTACATCTTTGTGCTGGCATGGATAGCACAGTTCGTAGGGCACGGCGTGTATGAGAAGCGCGCGCCCGCGCTTTTCGATAATCTTGTGCAGGCGGTCTTTTTAGCGCCGTTTTTCGTCTGGTTTGAGGTGCTGTTTTGGTGTGGGTATAGGCCAGAGTTGAAGGTTAGGGTTGAGGAAGGGGTTGTAAGGCGGTTGGAGGCGTTCAGGAGGAAGGAGACAGGGAATGTGAAGGGGAAGGGATAGTAGGGATTGCAGAAGAATGGGGGGAGCGGGTGGGTTGTGGAATGTGATGGTTTGGGGTGGTGAGGGCAGTGGGGATTTGTTGGACCATGATGTTTTTACGCCAGGTGTTAAGTTCTGAGCACGTCACACTACGGTGATTGTGGATCCATTCATTTGATGGGTCGGATCGGAGTCATTCGTGCCAACTCGCGATCAACAAAATCCCACCGTGCGATTACAACTGGGATACCGTTAGAGACTTTGATTGATTAAGCCATCGAGTCAAAGTGCCCGGCGCACGACGCTGGTATTGTAACATAAAATCACCGGTCACGACCATGAATCCCGACGCATAAAACAAGGGACCATGTTCATGTAACGACAATGTTTCGTTAAAAAGAGTCAAAAAGTCAACAATCTAGTAGGTGGATGAGAATAGGTGAATGATATTAAAATTCAGGTTGCCTCCATTTCCTTTGCTTGGCTTACGTGAACTGTTCATTGATGCTATCGGTAATATCTACTGATTCTCATCTCCGGGCTATGAGTAATCCCTCCCTGCAAAGCAATTCACACCTTATGAGAACTTTTGGAAATGGTATATCCTGCCTTGTTACAACGCTTCAGTCTAATATGTAACCGTGCCAAGGTTCCCGCGACTTTGAAAGACGCTAGGCGACTTGCAAAGATTGATGGCACTCCTACGGAGTGCTCAATGTGATGGATAGCTCAACGTGACCCCTCTCTGCACATAGTAGTTGTGGGCTTTTAAGGATCACATACTATACCCACACCACCACACAATATCTGCCAAAAGTTGCTCTGAAATTGAAGTCTGGATAAAACAAGTAACTGAAAGGCTCAATGGAGAGGAAAATCCCAATGTGGCTAGCATGGCACACAAGTTCCAGGTTCCCAAATACGGTCTTTGTACATGGTAGAAAGACTGTAAATCCCATCAGGAACAAGTGGCACAGAACAGAAAACTGACAAAGGACCAAGAGGTTTATTTTCTGTCTGTATTTAAATAGCCTAGACATTATCAGAATTCCACCTTGATTTCACCTAATTGCTAAATACACAAATTCAATCCTTGTACATTCAATTTGAGCTCCAGTGACCTCCAACTGGGTAATATCTAATCTAGTAACTTCGGATCCAGCAACCTCCAACCCAGCAACACAGCAACCTAAAGCCTCTGCCCCTAATGATAGTAATAGGTGGGCTTGGCAGTTCCTTGCCTGACACTCAGAATACAATATTCAAAAACAGAAAACATTAGATATTAATCCTAAGCAAGTCCACAATAGTAATGACTAATGTAACTGGTTTCTGTAGTATCAGATGATAAGGGAAGAGAAGGGAATCCAGGGTGCTAATACTTATAATTTCGATAAAATAGGATTTCAGATTGGCATTAAGAAGGACTAATGAATAATAACGGTAAAGACAACTTGTACAATGTATATTGCAAGTTCATATAATTGAGAAGTTATTACTACTATTATTACACACAGGCAGTAGACTCAGCTGCATGAACAAGATGTTCCGAGTTTGATAAAATTGAGTTTTGAATTTTATTAATTCAACTTATTTTCTTACATTTAAACCTATCACTTTTCTAATAGCATTTAAGAAGACAGGACAGATTCTGTTCAATCTTATCATTGTGCTTGAAAAGCTAGTTGAGAATGATCAAGCAACACATTCTCTGCCAATCATACCACTCCGATAGCCTGAAAGCAAACTCAAAACTCCTCAAACTGTGTGAACTAAATAGCAACCAGTGGGTTTTATGTTCCCTGACCTTAATGCACTCTCTGCCTCAGCTGATAAACATACTTGTATGTTTATTAAGCATAGTCTTTCTCAAGTATACTGCAGTGTACAGGTATTTGAGAATATCATAAATACCAAAGCAACAGAACTTGCTCATACAACTTGGAGGAAATAAAGCTGTAGGATACCTCAAAAAGGTGGCACCATATATGGTGCGAAGGTTGGATAACAGTATACCAAAAAGAACAGGATAGGATAGAAGGAGAGGTTCTGAAGGCTTAGTGTTTACTTGATATTATAAATAAAGCAGCTGAAAGTAAGGCTATAAAATAATGGAAAGAAATTTCCAAGCAAATAAGAAGTCTGTAAAAGACAGGAACATGAAACAAAAAATTTAAAATCTTTTATTTCATGAGGTTAAGCATTTAATCAAAAACCGTTTTTGCTTTAGTTTAATAAAAGTCATGTGGAGTGGTCTATCATGTTAAGCTGTCTGGAATTGTGATGGAGTTCCATTAATCTCTGCAAGTTATGATAGCTAGCGCCTTTCAAAGTGGTGGGAACCCGGGCATGGTTACTGCAATGCTGTTCTTATATAATTTTTTGTGTGTGCTGCCACCTGATTGGTAGAGGGCATAAACCCCTAACCCTCTCATAGTATTACATACCCATTGTTTCACTCCATTAAAAGATTTTGCTTTTTTCATCTAACATACATACCAACTAGTTTTCCCTATTAAAAATTTCACCTGTTTTTACTTATTATGATAGCCATATTACCTGCTAAAAAAACAAAAGTCCACTTAACAAACTCTTTGACCATAACAAGTTTCTTATGACAAAAGATAATATAAAGTAATTACCATGTTCTGATGAATAATAATAGGTAATATAAAAGAAATAATGCAAGATAAATGCATGAAGAAAAAATTGTATAAAGGAAAAATAAAAATACCAGAAGGTGTTAGAGTAAATGAATATAAAAAGAAGCAAATAAACCAGAATGTATTCCATACTCTGAATCAACCAAGTCTTTAAACAGCTGTTATTTTTTTTCTCTCTAGTTTTATGCATTTCATTATATAAACATTTATGTATTTACCGTGTAAACAGATAAAAAATGAGGAATAACAGGACAGTAATTGATATGGTATAACGAGCAAGTATTGCTAAGCATGTTTTGTATGTTACTTTTATTTCCAATATCTGAAACAGTGCAGAAAGTAGTAGTATATCCAAAGAGAAACGTAACAAAAAATAGAAAATATATATATATAGTAAGATATACGATCATTTATTTCTCATAATAATGTGAGACTTCACTCCAGCTAGAAGGAATGTAGATCAGATACATATTATTTAAAGCTTCATACTATATACATCCCACTAAACAAGTTGTAAATCAATTAATAACTGTACCAAAGTTTGAAATCTGCTGGAAAAAAAGGTTACAAGTTGTATTTACTTTAGTTATGTACTGATGAGATAATCAACGTCATCAAAAAAATACTCAGTATGTGATATATCGCTGGCGTATCTAGATATATATGACATGGCCCCTGCAGCCCCTGCCTCCTGTGTGCCCAAGAGTTGGTTGTAATCTCAGTTCATATCTAGGATTTATGAAATTATCTCGGTTTACTCTATTGTATCAGATTGAGATGTTGCATCTCTTGTACATCTAGCCTTTACTCAGGTTATTCTCCTTGTTACTTTCTGGTACTGATGCATTCAGCTTCAGCTTAACCCTTGCCTGCGTCCTGACTCTGGTTACAGTCAATGGTCCTCTTCAGAAGCCATCTAGCATTACCTTGCTACACTCTCTTGTTCCTCCGAGTCAT